GGATGATGGGACTTGCAGTACCTTCACTCACTTACTGAAACCACTGCAACCCTAATCCAATGACTGATCAAGGCCAAACTTAGCACATAGAGCCCCAATGACCCACTCTACATCCTGCTGCAGTTTGAAGGAGGATGGACTTTGGATGATGGGACTTGCAGTACCTTCATTCACTTACTGAAACCACTGCCACCCTCATCCAATGACTGATCAAGACCAAACTTAGCACACAGAGCCCCCATGACCCACTCTACATCCTGCTGCAGTTTGAAGGAGGGTGGACCATGGATGATGGGATTTGCAGTACCTTTACACACTGAAACCACTGCGACCCTCATCCAATGACCGATCAAGACAAAACTTGGCACACAGAGCCCCCATGACCCACTCTACATCCTGCTGCAGTTTGGAGGAGGGTGGACCATGGATGATGGGACTTGCAGTACCTTCAATCACTTCCTGAGAGGCTTGGCCTCATGTAAGCCACACCGAGTCCCTTGGGGAGATGGTAGCGGGGTATAAAGTTTTATTATTATTATTATTATTATTATTAGAAGGAGATACATTTGGACAGGTACGGTGGGCCAGAGCCGTATAGGGTTTTATAGGTCAAGACCAGCTAACAGTGGGAGCTCACTCTGCTCCCAGATTCAAACCGCCGACCTTTCAGTCAGCAAGTTCAGTAGCTCAGCGGTTTAACCCGTTGTGCCACCGAAGGCTCCAAAATTTTGCCCTACCATTGCACATATTGGGGACTTGAGCATTCCATGGATTTTGTGGTTCCCAGGATCAAAACGACTCAATAAGACGCTGAAATCTTGGTCCAGACAAGAACAGACACACAGGTACACAAGATTAAATTTTAATTAACGACGAGAATGAAAATAATTGCGACATGTACATTTGTAGTACTTTCAAACGGTTTGCTTCCCTCTTCCACTACAGCACGTAGCCGTTCTCATCGTGTTCCAACGGGAAGGTGAAGCCAGGTGAGACTGGACCCAAAAACATCTCGCTGCGAAAAGGTGACACAAGAAGAGGGTAAGGCCAAAATATTAATGTACAAACAGTGTTTTTCAATATCTTTATTATCTCCAATATATTTTCCCTCCCTGTTATGGAAGGAGAACCTTAGAAAGAACAAGAGAAAAATATTGGATGTGTTTTCAAAAAACTCTCCTATGGTTTTGTTATGGGACAGAACGCCCCTCCTGCAAACGCGTTAAATCTATACAGTGAGGTCCCCATATCTGTATCTATGGAGCTGAAACAATAAACATGACGAAACACCCTGTCTTCCAATAGGGATTGGAAGAGGCTGGATAACAATCTGTTGGGGGGTGATTTGAATCTGTTTGTCTTTATGGGTTGGACTGGATGACCCTTGGGGTCTTTTCCACCTCTGATTCTATGATAGGAATCTGGTAGGTCTTCCAATGCAACTCTATGCGGGAAGCGTGCCATCGAATTGCCTGGATAGCCTAGCAATTTCCATAAAGAGGTAATTTCCCCAAAGATTCAAGTGAGCGAAATGGTTGAGAGAAGGCTGCCATAAGTCCCCATGATGCCAAGATGATGGATCAATAATAATAATAATAATAATAATAATAATAATAATAATAATAATAATAATAATAAATACAATCAAATTCTACAAATGAAATAACCAAGAAGAGTTAGCCCTATTAAGTCTCGATGCAGAAAAGGCGTTTGATAATTTAAATTGGGATTTTAAAAAATTATATAAATAAAAATGTAATGTTCATTTGTGGGATTCACAGAACTCAAAAACCACTAGACGAATTGACACCAAATTTGGACACAAGACACCTAACAACCCAATGTATGTCCTTCACTCAAAAAAATTGATTTTGTCATTTGAGAGTTTTAATTGCTGGGATTTATAGTTCACCTACAATCAAAGAGCATTCTGAACCCCACCAACGATGGAAGTTCTCCCATGACCAACAGAAAATACTGGAATGGTTTGGTGGGTAGTGTCCTTTGGTTTTGGAGTTGTAGTTCACCAACATCCAGATAGCACTGTGGACTCAAACAAGGATGGATCTGGACCAAACTCTACACAAATACTCAATATGCCCGTAGTTTGGGGACCCCTGATCTAAACTCTCTGTGCCAGAAACATATTGGTGTCCAGCAGAGAGATTTATTTTGAGATACCAATACATGATTCTTTAAAGTGGTGCCAGCAGGTGGGATGTATTAGAGAATAATAATCCCCAGGGCCTAGGATCTATGATTCTTTTAAATCTAGCAATTTCCATAAAGAGGTAATTTCCCCAAAGATTCAGGTGAGCGAAATGGCAGAGAGAAGGCTGCCATAAGTCCCCATGATGCCAAGATGATGGATCCATAAATTGGGCTTGGCTGCTACAGCATTCTCTCTGGGGCTGCCCTGGGAGGCTATTTGGAAACCACACAAGACACTTAACTCGGTTACAAAAAAGGGGAAATTGGAGATGCCAGGAACCTCCCCCCCCCCCTTTTTTTTTTTACCTGATCTTCACCATATCCGTCACCTTTTGGCTTGACAGTAAGACTTCCAAGTAGTCTCCGGACAAATACAAAGGGTGTTCGTCGCCGGATTGTGGAGGGAAGTGCTCTCGTAACCCAACGGGAATGTAGCTGCCCAAAAGAAAGGAGAGGAGGAAAACAGGTAAAACATATGATCAGTGTAACTGGGGTTGGCTTGTTTTGTTTTTTTTTTACAATGGAGTCCAAAGCCTGAGATATCAGGCATGTCATTTTATTTTTATTTTTAAAAAAATTGTTTGTTACTATCTTGACCTTATTTCCTGATTTTGTGTGAAGTCAGGAAATTAGGCCATGCCTTAGATCTTGTCAGGATTAATTTAGTTATGTATGTGTTTTAAATGTGCTTCTATGTATTACAAAAATGGATGCCACTGTGAATTGAAAATGCCATGCAGAAATGTTTATACTTTGAGGCCGTGATTAAGTGAACTTGAAAAAGTAAAATAAGGTTTGTTCTTGCTGAGAACAGAAGGGAGTTGCCAGTCTCAGCAAGAGAAGATAAGCAGATGTGCAGAAGCTTTCGGTTTGGACTAGTTCTTTGCTTCTTCCTGAATTGTAGCTCGCTGTAGAAAGACGTGTCTGATGTATGTACTTAGTTTCTTTTGTAACTCAAAGCCTGCAGAGTCCTTATTTTGCAACTCAGTGTCTGCTGGATCTAGCATTCCTTCCGCTGGGTATCGTCAATCTCTGACAGATCTGTCCTGTGTATATTTGAAATCTGGAAGAGGGTTGCCGTGGAAACGGGAGCAATGTAGGGGAGGAGACAGGGTGCAGCGCGAGGGAAATAAACTGTCAGTTGGAACTTTGTTGCATTCCCTAATGCATGCTTTTGAATTAAAGCTTTCCAACTTGGTTTGTGAGGTAATTATTTCACCAGAAAGCTACTGATCTGGACAGTTACCCTGTTTCCACAAATTAGCTTTGTGTGTGTGTGTGTGATGTGGTTGAATTCCAACACACAAACACTGAGCTAAGGTTCTGGGAGTCAGAAGCCCGAATGCCTGGAGGGCTGCAAATTGAAGAGGCCTGCTTTATGTTATTCTTTCCACACTAAGGTTTGCTGCTACAATGGATTGAATGGAGTTCAATTATATCAATCAAGGCTCTGTTCAAACAAACTGGGCCCGGTTTTCCATACAATTTGGTGGGGTTTTGCAGAGCTGTTGTTGAAGTCGAGCATGCCCCCCCCCCGTGTATAATCTCTATATGATTTCTATGTTTCCTTGTGTTCCTGACCCTAGCCTGACCCTTTGCCCCATTCTCCCCCTAAAGAAATAAGTAAGGGGACAAAAGCCATTAGCGATTACAAAAACCTCCAGCTAAAGACACATTTGCATAGATAATAGAAGGAGATTATTATCTCTAGCATATGAGACGGCCCACTAGAGTAAGGAATTGTTTGGCAAAGTTTCTATCACTCTTCAAGTAAGATAAGGGGAAATCTTCCCCTCTGCTTTTTGTTTACTTCCCATTGATAGCATTAACCCCAGGCTGCCCTCATTGTTCTCCTGTCTCACAGCCAGGAAGGATCTGGATATTTTTACACATGTTGATTCACAACACTCAAAACACAATAGGTCAGCCCTGCTTGAGCTTTTTGTCTCACAGGCCACATGGCATTTCCTTTTTTAAAGACTCATTCACAGATTCCTTTGTGTTCTATCGTCCCGCCTCCCTCTCTCCTGATTTGCTGTCGCCGCCAAGTGGCAGAGGTCTCCCCATTGGATCCTACGGACCACTGGAGCTTCCTGATTGGTCCAGAGGCACCGGGGTCAGGAGGGCCGCCTCCCAGCTGTTTGCCCATTGTCCAATCACGGTGGAGGGCGGCAGGGAGGTGGGGCGGGAAGTTTGAACTCTGCAACTTTGACTTTACTATAAATATGACTGTATTGATGTATTCTCCTCATGCTCTGCTGGCAAATGATTGCAGCTCTGCATCCTTTTCAGCTGAATTGCAAATAAAACCTCGATGGCTTTTCTTCAACTTGGTGAGACTTTTCATTGGGAAATCAGGGAAAAATATTGGGGCTTCTCTGTCTCACCAGGGAAAAAGAACTCTTTGATGAGTCTAATTGGTCTCTGCCTCCTGGCAAAGACCCCTAAATTCCAGCTCTAGATCATTGTTACCTGCAGAGGTAATACAGCCATTGCAAGAGGGCGGCCCGGGTTTTCTCCACGCCGTTCGTGTCGGTTCCCCAGTACTCCAAACCATAGGCCGTGAAGTCTTTGAGCATGTCCAGCCGTTCCCGAGCGGAGATGTCCCAGTGCCGCATCTCTTTGATTTCGGTGAAGATCCACGGCTTCACCAAGGCGGCCCTGAGAAGAAATACAGATAAAGAGAGATGTCGGTCCAGAAGATGGGAGCAGACACCGAAAAGGCCCAGTCCTCACTGCACAACCATCTGATGTTGCTGAGTCCAAGGCAAAGACTTGGGAGGCATAAAAAATTACAAATAATTTAATGTAACACGGAATGGCTGTTGAGAATATATATGTGTGTTTTGATTAACTGTATTGTAGTTTCCGAATGCATCTCCCCTTATGAACCATCAAGGACCTTGAGATAGTCCGGGGAGGCATTGCTCTCGGCCCCGCCTTTGTCACAGGTATGTTTGGCGGGGACGAGAGACAGGGCCTTCTCAGTGGTGGCCCCTCGTCTATGGAACTGTTGGGGTTCAGCCTGTGTGTGAACTTGAACCTGACTCTCTGATTGTATTTTCTGATGCTCATGTATTTCCTGATGCCCATGTGAATTCTGAGGCTAGTTTAGATGATGATAGGTTGAGTACTGAAAATCCTACAGCCTTGGAAAGCGAAAGTCAAGATTCCCATGAGAACATACATTCCAGGACAAGAGGAGATGGTTCACTCCCTTTTCCTCCCAGTTTTAGCTCTCCAGAGAATCAGGCACCTGGCCTGCCTAATGAGGATAGGCGGGGGCAGATTTGGCAGAGTCAGGGAGAAGCCCAATGTTTATGCAGGTCAGCCAGATTGAAGGAGATCCAAACAAAATCTTCAGGCGTGTCTCGCAATAGATTTCTTGGCCTTGAATATGACTGCCCTTAATACAGCTTCAGACCAGGCATCGTTCCAGATTCATGTGCCAACGTTTGCAGGTCTCCTGATCCAAGTAGCCTTGTTCCTCGGAGGTTTTCTAGTTGCCCTAAGTACGGTTAATGATTTGCTAACAGGTTCCAGGATTCAGCAGTTTAGCTGTGGGTTTCATGATCTTGTTTATGGACATTCCTCGCTGATTTTTACTGTGGCTTTTTACCTTTGCATATTTTCCTCTGTTTTGTATTCATCTTTCATCAATAAAAAAGGATTGTTTTCCTGAAGCCAAGCGTGGTGGATTGCTGTCTGAGGGTCCAGTTTCCTGCTCTGGGTTGCAACAGGAACGCCCTCCCTAGAGAAATTAGATCTGCTCCCTCCCTCTTAACATTTCGGAAGCAATTTAAAACATGGCTATTTGAGCAAGCGATCACAAATACAGAGTAACAGATATGTAGATAACTGATATAGGAAACCTGACAATTTGACGATGGAACTGGACAATGCTTGACAATAAGGAGACGCTGATTATGTTGCTTTTATTGCTTGTTGTGCTTTATGTTGCTTTAATGTCTAATTTGTGCTATGATATTATGTATACTGTTTTGTTGGAAACCGCCTTGAGTCGCCAATAGGCTGAGAAAGGCGGTATACAAATACAGTAAATAAATAAATAAATAAATAAAATTTTAAAGTTAGTGTTTGTGTGCTTAGAAATGTAATGCTGTGACATGCAATGTGCCGGAGATTGTAATTCCTGTGTGAAAAAGGGTTAACTGTATCATGAAGGAGGAGTCGTAAATCTCAGTGCGGAAAGTGTTGTAAGCTGTGTTGCGTCGTACGTCATCTCGTCACTGTGGAATGTAAGGAGGTGCCTGATTCTAGATTACAACGAAAAGACGAACCATGTAGCCGCTTGTTTCTTGTTCTGCTTAGCTTCTAGTGTAAATATTATTTTAGTTTTGTGTTTAATAAAATAGCTTTAGTGTAAGAAGATGTGTTTCAGTGCCTTGTGTGCGCTGAGATAGTCGCCATTCCATTGACAATGGCGCCATGATATGAAAGGCTATGAACAATCACTTGTCCTGTGTCGGGATATTCCCATTGCAGAAAAGGAAAAAGCACTTGCCTTGCAATCGTGACCCCCGAAATGCCAGTTTCCTTGGCTTTTATGACATCTTCAAAGGAGAAAATATCTCCATTCCCTGGATCACAAGAAAGGGAAGAAAGATGGACTCAGCAGAAAAATAGTCGGGCATATCTTGACCGTGCCTCAGCCCAACCAATGCACAGGAACAAAGAAAAGGCAATATAAACACGGCTTACCAAAAAGAGGCATCGGTCTGGCAATCTGGGCACAGTGTGATATGTAGTTCCAGTCTGCTGGCTCACTCATTGGGATTTCTTTTGGCCGTCCGTGAAGCTGAGAGAGCCAGAAGTATCAACTTAGGCCATTTACTGTATATACTCGAGTATAGACCTAGTTTTTCAGCCCCTTTTTTAGGCTGAAAAAGTCCCCATCGGCTTATACTCAAGTCAAGTTATTTATTATTTTACTCTGTTATTGTTGTTGTTATTATTATTATTATTACTACTACATTTATTTTGCTCTATTTATATTATTAATATTATTATCGTTACATTTATTATTTTATCACAAAGGACGACCACCTCACCCGCCTCAGAGGAAACCTGCTACAAAACAGGAGCTTTTTTGTTGAGTTCCAGGGCCAGAGAAGCAGATGGCGGAAACAGAAGAACGGCCTGCCTCAGGGGAGCGTGCCTCCTCCATCCGTGTTCAACATTTACACAAATGACCAGCTACTGCCAGAAGGGACAGAGAGTTTCATCTATGCTGATGATCGTG